GTTTGTGTTCCAGGAGTTGGAATAGACATCTAGATAAACCCCATCCGCAGCTCCAGGGGCTTCTGCCTGCTTGCACTGGGGCAGGGGGTCCTCTGTCTATCTCTCAGGTTTTCTACTCTGGAGATATTTGAAAGTCCATGTGGACACAGCATGATGTCAACATGAGCACTGCCTTTTCCCTACAATTTTCCTCCAAAGACAGAAGCAATCTTCTCTTCCAGAGAAGAGTCAGGGAACTTTTTTTGTTCCTCTCTGGGGAGAAGGTAGAAAGATAGGATGTCTCATAAACCTTTGCGATTTATGTACTTACCAAATTCTAAGTAAATCCTTTACTCCTGGAGGTTTAATTTAGAGCTTTGTGTTCTCTTCTGATACCATCAGCAAGCAGACTAAATGGTCCCGAATCTGGGATTTGTTCCTCTTGAGTACACTAGAATTTCTTATAGTACATAACCCACCTCTGAAGGATTTATTCTAGGTCAAGGTAGATTTTATAAAGTATATCCAGTGCTAACACCTTCTTACGTAGATTGCCATTGCTATGCAGAGAGGAATGATGCTCCTGGGTGGCATATCCTGAGTTTTCTCTAGCTCAATGTTTGTGTTCCAGGAGTTGGAATAGACATCTAGATAAACCCCCATCCCCAGCTCCAGGGGCTTCTGCCTGCTGCACTGGGGCAGGGGATCCTCTGATCTCTGAGCAACTTTCTTCCCACTACCTCCCAATGTAGATAGTGATCATCCAAATTAGCCAAACTCTATTTATTGTGAAGCCACTTAGAAGTATGAGAGGCTTCATGTGCAGGCACTGTCTGTAGATATGTCTCTAATGTAGCCAAAAGAATAAAAGAACCATATATATGTGCAGACACACACAAACATATACATACATGTATATATCATAGCACAAACAGAGATATTCACAGTCAGTGGCTTGTGTAACTGGAAAACCAAAAGCTAGTAGCAATTGCGGTAAATTCTTTTCCTTGCTGACATAGTGTAAGAGGTAAGTTTGCAATTTTGTTATTCTTTTAAAAACTTTCTAGGCTATCCTTCTCCATGTGGAAAATTAGCAGACTTAGAAACTGCTGTATTTGAGTAACAAGATAGAATGAGTGCCAATACTGCTAAGAAGTCAAACTGTTACTGCGCCCATTTGCACATTACAGGAAGATCCTTACATTTTAGCAGAAGTTAACGTCCCAAACTTAATGCACATTTATATAAACCTTCCCAAATGAACTCATATTTATAGAAATAAAAGGATCTAAGACTTCTTCCTTTATTTTGATTTTTCGTAAAACCACTTTCCAGTGAAACAGTTATCCTGAAACTCTCTTCTTATATGCAACCTTCAAAGCAGATACAAGATGCTAATTCATTTATGTATTGCCATTGATTTATACAGATATAGCATATGATTTTTAAACTTTTTGAAGCATATCTTAAAGAAACAGCATGTTTTAATTTACTTGAATCATACATAGCATTTTAAAAATCAATGTGCAAATGGTAAGTTCTAATTTTGAACTTTGCTTAGTGAAGTAAAAATCATGTCTTGGGTAATACATAAAAACTGAGAAACAGAAGATTGTTGGTATATGTATTTTTTTGAACTAAAAATGACACTAATCTATGTGGCTAACATTTTCTGAGTTTTTGTTTTATCTACTACTATACTAGTTGTTATAAAAGATGTGAAGAAGTATAAACATATATCCCATCCTCACGACTTTTATCACTGGTTACAGGAGGCGTTTCCATTCACATGAAAAACACTTGGTATAAATCCTCTTCTCATTTTTTATTTATTGTTCAGCTTGTTTCAGATACTTCTTTTTGTAGTTACTACTGACCAAGCGTATAAATAGTTAATAGGTGCCTGAGGAACCTCCTCATATGAATATCTTTTAACTCCACAGAATAGAAAAAAGATCCTATTATAGATTGCCGCTTATCTAGACTTTTAATAAGTCATAGGGAGGGCTAAGCACATTGCTCCCTTTCTTTCTATGGGAACTGGTTGTAGAAGTACAACAGAATCCTTCAAATAAGGAACCCAAAGTCGCTGGGGCTCTCTGAGCTGCCCCTTCTGATTGTACAATGAGGTAGTGGATAAGCTCAGTGTATAGCAACACTAGTGTTTTAAAATGACCACCACCCCCCAATGTAGATTCCAGCTCCATATGTGCCTGACTCAGAATTTGCATTGACCTAAGCTTGATATTCTGTGAAGTAATATACAATAATATCCAAAATATTGATATTACCAGATCCATCTTCCTTTCACGAACATAAAACATAAAATCGATGATAAGTATTAATTAAAATTATGTTCATCATCAAAACAGATATAACACATATTTACCTGAATATATGCTAGCTCTAAAGAAAATATACTTTGGCAGTAAGTGATAAAAATTAGATCACAGCTATGCAACATTATGTATTGAAGGGCTGTGGTGTTTATTATGTTGAAATATTTGTTTAAAATGGAATGACTGTACAGTTAAATACATCTGTGTACAAAGGGTGATGTGGGTCTAAAATATCAAGTCATTCCAGATGTGAATTGTGGAAAAAGCAAGAGTACTTCTTGGGCCAAAAAGTGGAATTGTTACAAAAACAGTAGATACAAAGTGGAAAAATTGTACCATTTGGTCTTTTTTAAGTAGGTGAAAGAATATCTAGAAAGAAAATCCTGAATAGTGGGTGTTGAAATAGCTACTTCCACAGAAAACATCTGTATCCTGGGTGGTAAGAAACACAGACAAATGCCTGTCCCATAAAGTTGTAATCAGTGGACTTTATTCCAGGACTGGCTGAAGTGTGATAAAATTTGACCGATGCAGCTCTCAGAGTCAGCATGACAAAATCTGAACAGCTAAGTGTAGGAGAATTTAGTATTACAATGTCCTGACTGGTAAATTAAAGACTCTTTCCCATTGGATAGTTTCTTCTAGAAATGGCACATCCTGATTTTTAATTGAGAGTAAGTTAAAAGGGCTCAGGAATCATCCTGAAGAATCCCACCAAGGATAATATAAGTATTAACATAAAAATAAAGGGAGTAAGAGTTATAACCTATTGAATAAAAATATCAATGAGTCCAAATTGATAGCTTACACGGAGAGATAGAGCCCATTCTCACAGTAATGTCAACTAATAAATACAAAAGGAAAGATGGAGTTAGAATAATAAATTTTGAAAACTTCTTTACTAATACAGTTCTTATATATATGTCAGGTAAGGTAATCAACGGATGCTATAATGAGTGGCTGAAAGTCTAATAAAAATGAAGTATTTCTATGGAAGTTTTAATATGTTATCACAAAAATTGGACTAAGGAAGCATAATTTTATAATAAAGCTGTCTGGTAGACAGCATCTTAGCTAAGGAATCCACATTAGCCTCCACAATATTAACATGACTGGAATAATAATGGAAGGCATTAAAAAGTACATATGATTATTTCCTGCCAAAGTGTAAAATCTGAGAAAACTAAGGAAGACCAATAAAAAAACAATATTGAGTAGCATTCAACAAAACAACTGGTCTGAAATCTTCAAAAACATCAATCTCCAGGCAGCCAGAAAAATGCTGGGCAACGATCCCACATAAGAATAGATTAGATAGACTATGTGATCTTGGCTTGCATCTTGGACACGAGGGACAGAGAAATGCTATATTTAGAGAAGCGTATGATGTCAATATTATATTTCCTGATTTTGGTAATGGTACTCTGGTTAAATTAGTGAATAATTGTATTGTTGGATAAAATTTAAAAGGTAAGAGTATATTGGTATCATGGATGGAACTTTAGCCCTAAGTTAACACAGAAAAAAAAATTAAATAATGCATATTAAAAAGGAGAAAATAGAAAAATTACAAAACAAAAAGTATTAATATTGTTGAATCTGGATGAAGTGTATTTAGAAGCACTGTTTATAATACTTGATACTTATCAGAAAATTTGAATTACTTCACAATAAAAAGTTAAAAACAAACAGGCAGAGAAATGAGAAAAAAAAGTCAAGCCGAAAAAAGTATTAAAGTTTCCTTTCAAATTACTTTGAGATAAATTGCTACAAATGCTTTTAATTCTCCAACTCTGACCCTGTTGTGGCTGAAAGTCTAATAAAAATGAAGTATTTCTATGGAAGTTTTAATATGTTAGCACAAAAATTGGACTAGGGAAGTATAATTTTAGAATAAAGCTGTCTGGGAGACAGCATCTTAGCTAAGGAATCCACATTAGCCTCAACAATATTAACATTACCAGAATAATAATGGAAGGCATTTAAAAGTACATATGATTATTTCCTGCCAATATGTAAAATCTGAGAAAACTAAGGAAGACCACTAAAAAATCAATATTGAGTAGCATTCAACAAGACAACTGGTCTGAAATCTTCAAAAACATCAATGTCCAGGCAGCCAGAAAAATGCTGGGTAACGATCCCAGATAAGAGTAGATTAAATAGACTATGTGATCTTGGCTTGCATCTTCGACATGAGGGACAGAAAATACTATATTTAGAGAAGAGTATGATGTCAATATTATATTTCCTGATTTTGCTAATGGTACTCTGGTTAAATTAGTGAATAACTGTATTGTTGGATAAAATTTAAAAGGTAAGAGTAAATTGGTATCATGAATGGAACGTTAGCCCGAAGTAACATTATCCCTAAATTAAATAAGGTATATTAATAAGGAGAAAATAGAAAAATTAGCAAACAAAAAGTATTAATATTGTTGAATCTGGATGAAGTGTATTTAGAAGCACTGTTTATAATACTTGATACTTATCAGAAAATTTGAATTACTTCACAATAAAATGTTATAAACAGGCAGAGAAACATGAAAAAAAAGGTCAAGCAGAAACAAGTATTAAAGTTTCCTTTCAACTCACTTGGAGATAAATAGCTCCACATAATTTTAATTCTCCAACTCTGACCATTTCATCACACTTTGGACCTTTCCACATTGTCATTAAGGAATGGGGGGCAACCAGTCATGGATCACAGAGCTCATCCTCTTGGGATTCCAGCTCAGTGCAGAGATGGAGGTGCTCCTCTTCTGGGTCTTCTCCCTGTTGTATGTCTTCAGCCTGATGGCAAATGGCATGATCTTGGGACTCATCTACCTGGACCCCAGACTGCACACGCCCATGTACTTCTTCCTTTCACACCTGGCCGTAATTGACATTTCCTATGCCTCCAGCATCTTACCAAGCATGCTGGAAAACGTAGTGAAACACGAAAAAACTATGTCCTTTATCTCATGCATTATTCAGATGAATTTGGTTTTGACTTTAGCTATTACAGAGTGCATGATTTTGGTGGTGATGTCCTATGACAGGTTTGTGGCAATCTGCCATCCGCTTCAATACACAGTCATCATGAACTGGAGTATGTGCACGGTCCTGGCTGTCAGTTCATGGGCATGTGGATTTTTCTTGGCCCTAATAAATCTAATTCTCCTTTTAAGACTGCCCTTCTGTGGACCTCAGGAAGTGAACCACTTCTTCTGTGAAACACTATCTGTCCTCAAACTGGCTTGTGCTGACACCGGGACCAGTGAAATTTTTCTCTTTGCTGGTGGTGTGTTTGTCTTAGTCGGACCCCTTTCCTTGATAATGGTCTCCTACCTGCGCATCCTCTGGGCCATCCTGAAGATCCAGTCAAAGGAGGGACGCAAGAAAGCCTTTTATACCTGCTCCTCCCACCTCTGTGTGGTTGGGTTCTACTTTGGCATAGGTATGATGATTTACTTGGTCCCAGAAAACAGTCAACAACAGGAGCAGCAGAAAGTCCTCACCCTATTTTACAGCGTCTTCAATCCAATGCTGAACCCACTCATCTACAGTCTGAGGAACGATCAGGTGAAGGGCGCCTTCTACAGAGCACTGCAGAAAAAAAGAGGACCGTGTAAATGAACAGATACTTGTAGTTCTCCTCTTAAAATATTTGGTTTGCCTATTCAATAAAAATAATAAAAATTCCCCAAGAAGAGGATTCATTTAAGAATGAAAATTATTTATATTTTGGCCATGGAAATGGAAACACATTTCATGGATATGAGTATTGTCTTAGATTGAGTAGCCATGTTAGTAAATGAGATGACTCAATTAGAATATTTAATATTTTGGTTAGAATGATTACTTCATTTTAAAGAATCAGAAATGTGGATATATGGAGATAAAATGGTTATTTTAAATGTCAGAAAGTGACATCAACACATTACTCTGGCTGATCAACTTGGACCTATGTGGCAGCTGAAAATGCCAGGTTAAAATGAGTATTAATGGGCCGGCCCAGTGGCGCACTGGAGAGTGCGCCCCTTGGGTGCGCGTCGGTGCTCCCACCAAGGGTTCGGATCCCATGTGGAGACCGGTTCCGCTCACTGGCTGAGCGGGTGCAGGCGCAACACCGAGGGTTGTGATCCCGTTGCCGGTCCCCGGTACGGGTGCAATACCAAGGGTTGTGATCCCGTTACCGATCAGTAAAACAGACAAAAAGGGAAAAAAAAAATGAGTGTTAAGAGAGAAAACTTCCTGTGAAAACTCAAACTTTAATTGGCAGCAACGCAGAGTGATGTGTTTCTAGCTCACTGATTGTAAGGACAATGAAATAATTGACTGAGAAATTCTTAACTGCCTTTTGAAGTAATTCAGGAACAAAGGAGAAAAAGATGTCGAAAGCTTTTATCTATTCAGAATATAAACAATTACAAGTATATTTCAAGCTGTGTAGTATAATCAAGTGTATGAGAGCCATTTGAAAATGTTTAATGTACCTGGAAGCAGGGGTTTAAGCATTTCTCTAATTTTACATTTACAGAAATCCTCTCTTATTTGCCTTGGGGGATAACTCGCAAGACCCACAGTGGATGTCTGTAGTTGTGGATAGTGCTCAACTCCACATGTACCATGTTTTCTTCTGTATATACATACTTATGACAAAGTTTATTTCTATGAATTATGCACAGTAAGAGATTAACAACAATGGCTAATAATAAAATACAACAATTATTACTATATACTGCAGTCAAAGTTATGTGAACGTCGTCTTTGTCTGCCTCTCTTTCTCTCTCAAAATGTTTATTGCTCTGTAGTATTTTTGGACTGCTATTGACTGTCGTTAATTTAAACCACATAAAGTGAGACTGTGGGTACTGGGGCACAACTATATTTATGGGTTATGATAATTGCCAATATGGCAGGATTGGGACACCAGTAGAGGTTCTAGTGTAAATTTTTTCTACCAATACTTTTAATGTTTGAATCAATTTAAGGTGGTTTAGGATGATGCAAAGAGATATGAGACAGCTTTGATATGACCAACATCATCTAAGTTTTGTAATGACAAAAAGTTCTTTGCATTTGTGAAACAAGATTGGGCAACATTTGTTACACTACTGATGGTAAAAATCTTTAAAGGCTAGTTTGTACACTTATCACCTGAAATATTATTTTTAATTGTTGAAAGCATTCTCTTTCTTATGGGCTTTAATCTGTTTTTAAAATTTTTACTTATTTATTCACTTATTTTAATTGGGACACATAATTGTGTGTATTTATGCGGTACAATTTAATATTTCAACACATACATATGCTGTATAATGGTCAAATCAGGGTATTTAGCATATCCATTTCGTCATGCATTTATCTTTTCTTTATGGTGAGAATGTTCAAAAACCTGTCTTATAGCTATTTTAAAATATTCGAGAGTGCTTCTAAAAGTTCACAGATTTGTATTATCTTTTAAATCTATTTTTCCAGGAAGCACCCTTGTATTGCCTATAATCTGATGATGAAATAACATATTACATAAATTTTAATATCTGTATTTAAAGAAATAATAAGCAGCTGTTGAAAGTATGTTGCAAAAAATATTTTGATATGGAAAATATTTCATGATATATTTCTGAATGGCGGAAAGATTTAAATAATCAATACTGTTCATATAATTTTAAAATTTTTGATGTATATGAAAATAGATTTAGAATAAAGAGCATAAATGCTTATATTATTAACAATGATTACCATTGTATATCATCTCATTAGTCTTTCAACTAGAGTTTCATAATGCTTTCCTAAGAACCTTTTAAAACTTGAAGTCACAATCTCATAAAAGGCAGGAATCACCTTTTTCACACAATGAACCACACTCTTGAAATGTTAATCTCAAAAACTAAAATCTTCAAGAGTCTGTATGAGTAAAAGCAAGAAAATAGTATAAACTTGATAATAAGGTATTAGAATTAAAAACACATGTTTTAGTAAAAATGAAATAATAAATATCAAGACCATTTTCTTTGGCAGTAATGTTAATTTACTAAAAGAGACTTCACTTCCTACAGAAACTTACTTAAGGTAATGTTAATTTACTAAAAGAGACTTCACTTCCTACAGAAACTTACTTAAGTTATATTCAGTTTTCAGAAGTAATCTTGAGAATGTATTATCCCTTGCAACAATTTGTACATTTGTACATTTTCCTAAATTACTGCTCTTACATTTAAATGAAGATATTAGAAATTCATGATATCCTCATGATAAAGTCCTAATGAAATATAAGTATTTATAATAAAAATATAAATTATTAAAAGTCCAAAAATATATTGGCTTATAAATATGACAAAAATAATCAGAAATTTGTAGACGTAGCTGTTTTGTGGCAAAAGTGAGGAATATGCAAGTTGAGCCTGAAACATCTGGGCCTTTCAAGCTAAAAAATAATACTCAAAAACGGTAGGAAGTTGTTAAAAGGACAGAAATTTGGAGGTTTCAAATAAAGAAATGTTAAGCTTCAAAAAATATTGATAATAATAACAAAGAACAATTGACTAAAAAAATTCAGGAGTCCAAACTGATGGCTGAATTATTAGATAGATAGAAAGACAGACAGACAGACAGAGAGACAGAGAGACAGACAGACAGACAGAGATTAGGTAGATAGATAGATAGATAGATAGATAGATAGATAGATAGATAGATAGATAGACAAACAGATAGATGGACACATGGATGGATGGATAGGTGTATAGACAGACAGATGGGTGGAAGAAGCTTTTTGTTATATTAAGATTGCCAACTAACAAATATAAAAGCAATGATGTGGTTAGAACAACACATTTGCAATGATTGTGATTAATAATTGAATCAGACAAGATAATCAATGAATGCTAAAACTACTGACTAGTTCCATAATGAAGAACATGATATTTATATAATAAGCATAATGGACACCTCAGAAATTAATTAGGGAAAATAATAATTATATAATGGTGATATCTGGGAGTCACAATCTTTCTCAAGTGATCCAAGTTAGCTTCACCAACAATTACAAAAATTAACATCATGCACTTACTCATAATGTACTGAGAAGGACACTTTTTTTCTTGCAGAAAGTAGATAATCTGAGTCAAAACATGAAGAACATTGTATAATCCTAATATTAGGATTATTCTCAAAATGAACTGTTGTATAATCCTCAAAACAGAACTAAACACCACTAATGAAAGAAATTCAAAAAGACACAAAAAGATGGAAACACATTTTATGCTCTTGGATTCAAAGAACAAACATGGTGAAAATGTCTATACTACCCAATGTGATCTACAGATTCAATGCAATCTCCATCAAAATACCAATGACATTCTTCACAGAAGTGCAAAAAACAATCCCAACATTCATATGGAATAATAAAAGACCTCAAATAGCAAAACAAAAAATTAAGGGGGGGCATAGCACTACCTGACCTCAAATTATACTACAAAGCTATAGTAACAAAAACAGCATGGTACTGGCATAAAAATAGGCACTTGGGCCAATGGAGCAGAACAGAGAACCCAGAAATCATGCCTCAGCTTTTCAACCATCTGGTATTTGCAAAGGCAACAAAAATATACTTAAGGACAAGACTGCCTCATCAATAACTGGTGCTGGGAAAATTGGTTGGACATATGCAGAAAAATGAAACTAGACATGCACTTCTCACCATATACTAAAATCAACTTAAAATGGGTTAAAGACTTAAATATAAGACCTGAAAACATAATATTACTAAGGGAAAATATATGTGAAACCCTTCAGGAACTAGGTCTGGGCACAGACTTTATGAACATGAGACTGAAAGGACTGGCAACAAGAGAAAAAATGAACAAATAGGGCTATACCAAACTAAACAGTTTCTGCACAGCGAAAGAAATAATTAACAGAGTGAAATGAAAACCTACAGAGTGGGAGAAAGCTTTTCCTAACTATGCGTCCAAAAAAGGAATTAGTATCCATAATATACAAGGAACTCAAGCAATTACAAAGTAAAAAAAAATAATAATAAATGAATAACTCATTTAAAAAATGGGCAAAGGAACTGAATATACATTTTCCAAAGGAAGACATACAAATGGCAAACAGATACATAAAAAAATGCTCAACATCACTAATCACCAGGAAAATGGAAATTAAAACCACATTTAGATATCATCTCAACCAATTTGGACTGGCTATAATCAAAAAGACAGAGAATAACAAATGCTAGCGAGAATGTGGAAAGAAGTGAACATTTCTACGTTGTTGGTGGGAATGTAAATTAGTACAACCATTATGGAAAACAGTATCGAGAATTCTCAAACAACAACTGAATGGACATTTTTCAAAGGAAGACATGCAAATGGCAAACAGATACATAAAAAAAATACTCAACATCACTAATCACCAGGGAAATGGAAACTAAAACCACATTGAGATATCATCTCACCCAATTTGGACTGGCTATAATCAAAAAGACAGAGAATAACAAATGCTAGCGAGAATGTGGAAAGAAGTGAACATTTCTACGTTGTTGGTGGGAATGTAAATTAGTACAACCATTATGGAAAACAGTATCGAGAATTCTCAAACAACTACAGATAGATCTTTCATACGATGCA